GCAACCCTCCGGGCCCGGCATCCCGCGGAGGATGCGCGGCCGCACCGGAGCGCGAGGCGGAGGATGCGCGGCGGCTACGGAGGATGCGCGGCGGCTGCGGGGGGTGCGGGGAGGCCGGTGCGAGGCGTGTCCGCCGCGCGCCCAGCCCCCAGCCCGCAGTGCAGGCCGCAGACCCCACCCCATCCCCAGCCCCGCGGTCGGTCCTCCCGCGTGCTCAGCCGTGGGAACTAGCCCGCAGCTGTCGCCGTCTGCGTGCGAGTGCGGAGGCGGTGCGGGAGCCGGGATCTCAGAGGTGACCCGGCCTCAGAAAAGGGGCTGTGAGGAGGGTCCTGGAGCAACGGGAGCCACGGAGTGCTGAGTACCCGGAGGCCCTCCCGGGTGTAGCCTCTGCACCTCAGTTCTCACCTAAACTTTTCCTCTTGGGATTTCTATTCTTCTAAAATACTGCACAGGACGCTGGAAGGACAGTGCTGACAAACGTGTAAGGCTCAGTATTTGTTTCTGTTTTTCGCTTTCAGGTTATTCATTCGATAAATATTGGACATCAGCTATAATATATATGTGTATATACAGACACACGTGTGTCTGTATATACACATGTATCTATATACATACAAATATACATATATGTCTATATAGATACACGTATATATGTGTATATACATGTCTACACATACACACGTATATACACACATATACATATACACGTATATGTATATGTGTGTCTATGTATTGCATACACACACAACATATGTATGCATATGCGCTAGCCATGCAGATGTTAGGGTTACTTGAGCGAAGCCTGTCGGGTTCCTGACTTTGGATAGATGGAAGCTTGCCTTTGGGGGAGGAGGTAAAAACCAATACAGGTTAACAGAGAAAAGAGCCTTCATAAATGAGGTTAATGGGTGGCATGGGGTAGAAAGAAGACTGGGAAAATGTTGTCATAAAGGGATCCTTGTCTACAGATACCAGATCTACTTTTGTTTTCCAAAAGACTCAAGTTATTTTTTGGGAAACCTCAATTTTAGCAGTGAATTAAAATACTTAAAGAGACAGGGCCAGGAGAGATGGTTAGGCAGTTAAGAATACTTGCTGTTCTTGCAAAGGACTTGGATTTGAATCCCAGCACCCACATGGCAGCTACAACTGTCTGTGACTCCAGTTCCAAGGTATCCGACACCTTGTTCTGACCTCTACAGGCATTGCATGACTCAGGTGTACTTACATACATGCAGGCAATACACTCATACATATAAAATAAAGATAATTTAAAAAATTTATATTGTTTTGGTCTTTTTTTGTTTGTTTGTTTTGTTTGTCTTTCTGAGACAGGGTCTCCCTATAGCCCTAGCTGTCCTGGAACTTACTATGTAGACCAGGCTGGCTTTGAACTCACAGAGATTTGCCTGCCTCTGCCTCCTGAGTGCTGGGATTAAAGGCATGCAGCACCACGCCCAGCCTGTTTTGGTCTTTTTGAGACAGGGTCTACCTGTAGCCCCAGCTGACCTGGAACTCACTATGTAGACCAGGCTGGCCCTGAACTCACAGAGATCCACCAGCCTCAGCCTCCCAAGTGCTGGGATTAAAGGTGTGCGCCACCACGTCCAGCTATAAAGGGAGACCCTGTCTCAAAAATACAAAAAAAAAAAAGCACAGTCATCCTTGGCTTCATAGTGAGTTCCAAGCCATCCTGAGCCATGTGAGACTTGAAAGAGTTTAGGGGCTGAGTTCAGCCCCTTGACCACTCTTGTCTGGAGCTCTTGTGAGGATAGAACAGCAGACATTAGACAATGAACAAGAGTAAAATCATGTCCTTGAAGAGCAAGCTGCTCTCAGAACCTGTCAGAGCATTTGGCGAAGTCAGTGTCCTGTTCCCAAAGGAAATGGCTGTTGACTGAGAACTGAATGATAGGCGGATGTTACCTAAGTGAAGAGGGACATGAGGAATGTTCTAGGCAGAAGGAACAGCACGTTGAAAGGCAGTGACGAAAGACAGAAACCCAGGGTGATTGTGGCTGAGAGAGCACTCCTAGTGTTTCGTAAAGTAAGCCTGGAAGTTTCCAGACTACCTTAAGGTTTTTAGTCTGTCATCTATGGGGGCAGTGTACACAGGGGAATAGCATGATTTGACGTGCCTGTATACTGTCTGTCGTCTGGAGGTTGGGCTGGAGGCAGTTTCATTGGCTGCAGGAGTACAGTTAGGAGGCTGTAATCCAGGGCCCAGGTGATGGTGACCTAGACTAGGGCGTTGAAGGTGGAGCTGGGGAGAAGTGTATTGGTGATACTGACTACTTGTCAATAATGATATCAAATTTCTCTTTAATACTTTTTAAAATTAATTTTTATTTCTGAGAATTTCATATAGTATGATCATTTTTAGCACCCACCTTACTAACCCTCACCATATATATATGAAGGCCTACAGAGTCAGGTTTGTGTTCCCAAATGATTCCCTGGGGGTCAACCTACTGAGAGTCACCCCCTTAAATGGGACCGAATCTCCCCTTCCCAGCAGCTGTCAGTTACCAGTAGCTCCTCTTTTTAATACTCTCCAAATGTTCTTTTAGGAGAATATCTGAAACAGTCCAACAGAATTGTTGGATTTCAGTAATAGGCTTGTTTTGACTTGGTTTCTTAATGTAAAATTTTGGAAATCAAAACGTCATACAAATGTTCTTAAGGTCACGCACACTGAGGCTTCTTTCTCTGCCTGCTGTTGGACTCCTCTGTCCTTAGCTTACCATTGTCTTCTATAGAGAAGACAAGCTGTGTATGGATATAGCACATGGTAAAACATTTTACTAATGCCAGTCTAGAAATAAGACTAGATATCACAGGACTTAATGCATTCTTTTTTTTCTTAATGTGTATGAGTGCTTTACCTGCATATATGCAAGGGCACCAGGTATGTGCCTAGTACCCAAGGAGGCCAGAAGAGGGTGTTGGATCCCCTGGTACTGGAGTTGAGGACAGGTGTTAGTAGCCATGTGGGTGCTGGGAACTGAAGAGCTCTTACTCTCTTTGGAAGAGCAGTAAGTACTCTTAACCACTGAGCCATCTCTCTAGTCTCTCGTTTTTGTTTTTGTTTTTTTTGAGACAGCATCTCACTATGTAGCTCTGGCTGGCCTGGAATTCACTATGTAGACCAGGCTGGCCTTGATCTCACAGATTAGCTACCTCTGCTTCCCAAGTGCTGGGATTAAAGACAGTCACCACCATGCCCTGTGGGACCAATACATTTTTGAATTGAACTTGTTTACTATGTTGGCATGTATTTTCCCTCAGGAAATTCAGAGAGGCTGGCGGGCCTTTTGAGCAGCATGTCGTCAGCCCGTTCACTTTCTGCTTGCACAGCATTTATTCCATGTCTGAATTAGGTTTTCTCTCCTCTCTTTTGTCTTGTAAAAGAAACTTCCATTTTATATCTTCTTTCCCCCATTTTATATCTTAATAAGCTCTATTAATGTGTAAGACTTTTAATTGCATTTAACAAAGACTTGTGAAGTCTTAACATATGCAAGGTGCTGAGATGGCAAATGAGCCTTTTTATCACAGTATAAATTTAGGCAAAAGTGACTGTTTTTTCATTATTTGTGACTGTTGTCTCCACCAGATCAATAAATCAGAGAAGCCAGAAAGCTGTGATAATGTGAAGGTGGTTGTGAGGTGCCGGCCCCTCAACGAGAGAGAGAAGTCCATGTGCTACAGGCAGGCTGTCAGCGTGGATGAGATGAGGGGAGCCATCACTGTCCACAAGACTGACTCTTCCAACGAGCCTCCGAAGACCTTTACTTTTGATACTGTTTTTGGACCAGAAAGTAAACAACTTGATGTTTATAACTTAACTGCAAGACCTATTATTGATTCTGTTCTGGAAGGCTACAATGGTAAGTGAATATACAGTTTTGAGGTATTGATGCCCGTCAGTTTACCTACAGCTCCGTGATTATGGTAAATGTCTACAGCTGTGAAACCATCGCCACAGCACTGTTTTAGAATAACACCATTGCCCAAAGTTCTTTGTGCCTTTTGGCTGTCCCACCACCTGGCACCCATTTTGTGATAGTTTTGCCTTTTCTTGAAATTTCATATAAACTACATCATAAAATGCCATCTTTTAAAAACCTGTTTTCTTTCTCTTGGCATAATGTTTTTGAGTTCACTCATCTTTTACCAGTAGTTTGTGACTTTTAAATAGATTTTATTTCATGTATATGAATGTTTTGCTTGCATGTATGTATGTGCATTGTGTGTGTATAGTTCTATGGCATCAAGAGCTGGAACTGGAGTTACAGATGGTCGTGAGCCATCATATGGGTGCTGGAAACCAAACCCAGGTCCTCTGCAAAAGCAGCAGTGCTCTTTAACTGCTAAGCTATCTCTCCAGCCCCTAGTTTGTGACTTTACTGAACTGTGTTCTTCTATTGAAACAGGATCTCACATAGCCCTTGGCCTTGAACTTGCTATATAGCCAAGGATAGCCTTCAACTCCTTCCTGATCCTCCTGCCTCCACCTCTCTGAATTTCATTCCATTGATTGTGTGTGTCACACTTTATCCATTCACCCGTTGATGGAAGCCTGGATTGTTGCTATTAAATGATGTTGCTCTGAGCATTCATTCATACATCTTTTTTAAAAATATTTTATTTATTTTTGGTTGGGCGTGGTAGCACACGCCTTTAATTCCAGCACTCAGGCGGATCTCTGAGTTTGAGGCCAGCCTGGTCTCTAGCAAATCCAGGCCAGCTAGGGCTACAGGGAGCCCCTGACTAAAGACCAAAAAAATTATTTTTATTTTATGTTGTATGAATGTCATACCTGCATGTAGGTAAGTGCACCCATGTCGTGCAGTGCCCAAAGGGGACAAGAGGCTGTCAGATCCCCTGGAACTGGAGTTATGGACAGTTAGCTGCCATGTTGGTGCTAGGATTCGAACCCAGGTCCTCTGCAAGAACAGTCAGTATTCTTAGCCACTGAGCCATCTCTCCAGCCTCTCATTCGTACATCTTTATGCAGGTGTAACGTTTCTCTTGGACAGCTACCTAAAAGGAAATTGCATTGTCCTGTGGTAAGCATGTATGGGTGTGAATCCATAGATATCCAGCTGTTCTGCATCATTTGTAGAGAAGTCTTTTACCACTGAATTGACGTTTTTGTAAAAAATCAATTGGCCACAAATTATGGATTTATTTTTGAACTGTGTTTTTTTTTTTTTTTCCATGTCTGTCCTGTCTTTATAGCTGTAGCTTTATAGTACTGTTGAAGTTAGGCAGCACAGGCTGGGCATGGTGGCGCACACCTTTAATTTCAGCACTCGGGACAGAGGCAGGTGGATCTCTGTGAGTTCAAGACCAGCGTGGTTTACATAGTGAGTTCCAGGCCCCCCTCCCCCCAAAAAAGACCAAAAATAAATAAATAAAAATTAAAAAAAAATTAAACTAGGTAGCATACATTCTTCAACTCGGCTATTTCAAAAATTGTTTTGGCTTTTCTAGGTCCTTTGTATTTTCATATAAATTTTACTAGCTTTCCATAAAATCTTACTAGCTTTCCATAAAACACCTGTTGGGATTTTGATCACAATTGTGTTGAGTTGCTGTTTTGACAATATTGAGTCTTCCAGTTCAAGAACATGGTGTATCTATGTCTTACTTAAACTCTTTCACTTCTTTTGGTAAATTTGTTTCATGTTATTCCAAGCATTTTAAAAATTACATTTACTTTGTGTGTGTGTGTGTGTGTGTGTGTGTGTGTGTGTAGATGCATTTTAGTTAGCCATTCATCATTTGGACTTTTGGATTTTTTAGCTGCTCTGGAGAGTGTTGCTTTGAATATTCTTGCACAGACTTTAAATGTTTTGAACACACACCTAGGAGTGGAGTTGCTGCATCATGTGGTAGCTCTCCTACCTTTTGAGGAGCTGCCGAGCTGTTTTCCACAGTGACAGGCCCATTTTACAGTCCCACCAGCAGTGCACTGTGAGGTTGCAGTTCCTCACATCCTTGTGGACATTTGTTGTTGTTGTGGATAGGCTGTCTACACCATCTCAGGGTGCAGTTGATCTTGCAACCTTGCTAAACTTAGTAATTTTAGTAGGTTCTGGTGTCACTCTTTCTTTGGTTTTCTTCTTCAGTGCTGGAGATCAAATTCAGGGCCTTGTGCTTTAAAAATTAATTCTCTAGGGTTTTATATATTCATAATTGCCTGCCAGTAAAGAATTACTGCTTTCCTTCTGATCTTGATACCTTTAATTCCTTTTTGGTGCCTGACCTCTAGTCACCATTAGATACACCTGGGAGAGTGGGCGCTCTTGTTTTAGGGGATGCATTCACTCCCTCATTAGTCAGAGTGCTATCTTCTAAGTGTTCTAGGGTGAAGGTACCCTTCATCAGGTTGAGGAAGACCTTTTCTAGTCTTAGTTTGCTCAGAGTTTTTCTTTTTTCCTTAAAAACGTTGTTACTAGGTTTTTAAATGTGAAACCAGTTTTGCCACTTAGTCATGAAGTGTTATCTTTTAAAATATTTTATTTATATTTTTAGGGGCTGGAGAGATGGCTCAGCAGTTAAGAGCACTTGCAGAGGACCTGGGTTCGATTCCCAGGACCCACATGGCAGCTACGTTCGGTCCTTAACTCCAGTTCCAGGGGAATCCGAAGCCCTCTTCTGACCTCCGCAGCATTGCACGACACGGGTGCACTCACATACATGCAATACACTCATACACATAAAATAAAAATAATAAAGTATACTTTATTAATAAAGTATTTTATTTATATTTTTATTTTATGCATATGAGTATATTGCCTGCATGTGTGTAAGTGTACCCGTGTCATGTCAGTGCCCATGAAGGACAGAAGAAGGCATCGGATCCCCTGAAACTGGAGCTATGGATGGTTGTTAGCCTCTATGTGGGTGCTAAGAATCAAATCCACATCCTATGCAAGAGTAATCAGTGCTCTAACTGCTGAGCCGTCTGTCCAGCCCCATGAAGCATTATCTTTTCAAATATAGTTAGATTTCATTTGCCAAGTATTTAAGATTTTTGCATCTGTGTTCATGAGACTACAGAAATGCACTTCTCTTACAATGTTTTGTCTAGTTTTGGTGTCAGAATAATGCCAGGTGTTTTTTTTAAAGATTTATTTTTAATTACTTGCACTTATGTGTGTCTGTGTATCGGGTGAGTATGTGCACATGAGTGTAGGTACCTATGGAGTCCAGAAGAGGATTCGTGATTCCCCGAGTCACTGGAAATGGGTGCTGGGAACTCCACTTGAGTCCTCTGCAAGAGCAGCACACATTCTTTAACTGCTGAGCCTCTCTCCAGCCTCTGATGCTAGTTTTATATATGATTTACAGGTCATTCCCTTTTCAGATTTCTAGAAGAATTTTTCTAGAATTAGTATTATTTCTTTAACTATTTGGTGGTCTGCTGGACTTGGGGTTTTCCTACTGGAAAGATTTGTCACTTTTTCCAAGTTTCTTTTTTTTTCAGGTTATCGTATTTTATGGAATTTGTTTTTCTTGTGGAAATTACCAGTTGATTGACAGGTAGTTTCCACTGCTCTCATTGTCTTTGGTGTGGTGGGATGCAGTGCTACCCGTCCTGTTCTGATGTTGGTCGTCTCTGTCGTCTCTTGTTCCCCTGATGAGATTGACTGGAAGTTGATCTTACTGACTGTGTGAGAGAACCACTTCTTGGCATTTTTCACTGTCCTGTGTTCCATGTTTTCTCATTTGTTGATTTCTGGTTTTCAGTGCTGCGCTGCTGCTTTTTTTCTGACTTTGGATTTAATTTTCTAGTTTTCTGTTTTTTCAATGTGGGAGCCGAGGTCACTTCGAAGACCTTTTTTTTTGTTTTTTGTTTTGGTCTTTTTGAGACAGGGTCTCCCTGTAGCCCCAGCGGGCCCAGAACTCGCTATGTAGACCAGGCTGGCCTCGAACTCACAGAGATCCGCCTGCCTCTGCCAACTGAGTGCTGAATTAAAGGTGTGCACTACCATGCCGGGCCATTCTTTTTTTTTCTTCCTTTCCAGTACAGAAACTTGTGGCGTATCTCACCTCTGAGCACTGCTTTAGGCATCTAAGACTTTGACATGCCATCTTTTCACTTACACCCATTTTGAAATACTTTCTGCTTTACATATGTATGCATGTTCATGTATATACCCGTGTGTATGCACATGTATATGGAGCCAGAGGTCAACTTTTGGGTGTTGTTCCTCAGGAGCCATCTGCTTTGTTTTTTGAGACTGGGACCTGGGGCCCGCCAATTAGGACAGGCTAGCTAATGAGCCCCAGGGCTCCCCAGCTCTACTTCCTTAGCTGGGGTTGCTAGCACGTCCTGTCACACCTGGCTTTTTATGTGGAGGTTGAACTCCAGCTCTTCAGCTTGTGTGGCAAACACGTGACCAACTGAGCTATCTCCCTAGCCCCTTGATTGAGTCTTTGGTACTTCAGTTATATATATGTTATTTAGTTTGTGATATTTTGAGTTTTTTCCAGGGTTTTTTGTTATTTATTTTAGTTTAATTTCATTTAGTCAGTTAACATACTTTATATGACTTGACTATCTTTTTTTTTTCTTTCTTTTTTTTGAGATAGGGTCTCCTTATATAGCACTGGCTGGCCTGGAACTTGCTGTGTGGACAAGGCTGGCCTTGAACTCACAGAGATAGATCATCCTCTCTCTCTTTCTTGTGCTGGATTAAAGGTGTGTGCCTATCATTGGGCTCCTATCCTTTTTTCTTTTTTTTTCCCTCTCATGTATTTTGGAGCTCAGGGAGTAGGTGCAAACATGCTTAGAATTTTTTTCCCCCATCTTAATGAATGGATCTCTTTTTATTGTGAAATTGTCCTTTCTGGTTTTTCTTTTTTGCAGGGCTGGAGATTGAACCCAGGGCTACGTATATGCTGGGCAAGTGCTCTGTAACTGAGCTGCATCCCCAGCCCCATGAAAATGTCTTCTTTGTTCCTGGAAATGGTCTTTATTCTGGAACCTGCTCTGTCTGGTATTAACATGGACATTAGCTTTTCTTTTGATTAGTGTTAACATGCTATGCCTTTTTCCCATTCTTCTAATCTGTTTTTATATTGAAGGCACATTGCTTTAAAAAATTTTAATCTTGTGTATGTCTTGTACACAGTGCTTGTGTGGAGGCCTGATGACAGTTTTGGAGTTGGTTCTTTCCTACCTTTCCATGGATTCTGGGGCTCAAGGTGGCCAGGCTTAGGCTGCAAGTGCCTTTACCTGCTGAGCCATCTCACCGGTGAGCACTGAAAGTAGAGTTGTGGTAGGGTGCTGTAGCAAAATCTGCCTGCCATCGTCCAGTAATTGCCTTTCTTCTGGTTGGTTCAAGGTGAAGAATTCCTTCTTTATCGTTGGTCTTCCATAACGTGATAACGCTGAGCCTTGTGTTTTTTCTTTATCTCTTGTATTTGTGGTATCGTGCTTTTAGATTTGTAGATTTTAGATTTCATCAAATGTGGGAAAATTTCTGTTGTTACGTCAAACATTTTTTCAGGCCCCACCCTTACCATCTTGGAAAATCCAGAGATGTGCAGGTGAGTTGAGACGGGGCTGGTTGGAGCTGCCGAGGCTGCTGATGCTCTGCTCCATTTTTGTTCTCCAAGCTCTGGGATGGCATGTGTTGCGTTTCCTGGTTTACGTCTTTTCTGCCGGCAGCACTGCTCACTTCTCATTTCACACATTGTTTTCTCCATTTCTAGGCAGTCATTTGGATCTTTATGGCTCAGATCCATGTTTCTGAAGTGTTTTAATATACTAAGTCTAAGTCTTCCAGTCCCAGCTTTGGTTGGTTCCTTCACCATGGATTATATCGTTTTGGGTTTTTGCAGACTTGGCAGTTTTTGGTTGGACAATGGACATTGTGAGCTTTACCGACATTATTGGACCTGAGCCCTTGCAGCTCAGCTTCCTTTGCTTCCATACGTGCTTTTAAGTTTCCTCCAGATCTCTCATGATGGAGTAGCTTATTTATTTAACATTTTATTCTTTTTTAAATTATGTGGATGTGTGTGGATATGTGCATGTGAGTTCAGGTGCCTGTGGAGGCCAGAAGAAAGTGTTGGATGCCTGAAGCCGGAGCTACAGGCATCTGAGAGCTGCCCAACTTAGGTGCCAGGGGCTGGAATCAGGTCCTTTGGACCAGCCAGTGCTCTTAACTGCTGAGCCACATCTCCAGCTGCTGTAGTGGATTTCTTTATGGTGGTGAAGAATAGCTCCTGTCCTTATGCACCAAGGTTGTTTATCCTTTCGTCCACTGAAGATATCGTGGTTTCTTCCCAGTTGGGCAGCGGTGGACAGAGCTGCTATAGACATTCCTGTGTAGGTTTTTCTGGACCTTTTGTCATTTGATATGTGGCTAAGAGATGAGACTGATAAAAATCTCAGGCCACTTTCAGTTTTTAAAAAGTGAAGTTTTAAGAGATGGAAACCATATAACACTAAGAGTTATTATGTTTGACTTTTAAAAATAGAAAATCCTGGGCTGGAGAGGTGGCTCAGTGGTTAAGAACACTGTTGACTGTTCTTGCAGAAGACCCGGGTTCGAATCCCAGCACCCACGTGGTAGCTAACAACTGTCTGAAACTCCAGTTCCAGAAGATTCGACAGCCTCTTCTGTTCTCCATGGGCATTGCACAACATAGGTGTACTTACATACATGCAGGCAATGCACGCATACACATAAAATAAAAATAATAAGAATTTTTAAAAATAAATTAAAAAAAATAGAAAATCCTGGGACTGGAGAAATGGCTCAGCAGTTCAGAGCACTGGCTTCTCTGATAGAGGACTTGGGTCCAGTTCTCAGCACCCACAGGGGATGGATATGAGAGATATAACTCAGTCATAGACCATTTGCCTAGCATGTGTGAGGCCTTAGGTTCAGTTCTCCAACACTAAAAAATAAATAAAGCAAAATGATGCTGTGATGATGTCACTGAGGTTAACTGAGTAGGGTGTTCATGGTTTACAGACCTTTGTTGTGTGCTGTGTCATCCTGTGACACCCTCAGAGAAATACTACACAGTTTTGGGTTGAATCAAGAGTCCTGTATAAACAGGTAGTCAAGAAGGGGCTAACACCCAGAAGAACTCTCAACCCTAAGGGGAGGCAGAGTGGGGTTTATGAAGCCTAAAACCACAATTACATCATTCCAGAGACAGAGCCAATAACCATAGTTACATCAAATCACCATAGTTACACCAACCAGGGGCAGGTCTGCTAACAAAAAGTTTCAGTTAGGAAAAACAAATTTCCAGAATTGCAGAGACAGTGGGTCCATGGAGATGCAGGCATAGCTGGTTGGGAGGAGGGCGTGCTACCTGGATGTACTACCTAGTTGTAAGTTCCCCAGCACTGTAGAAACAGTGTACCCTCTGAAGCTACAGATGCAGCCTGTATGGGGTGTTCTGGCTGGCTGGCTGGCTGCAGTGGGAGTGCCTGGGCAGTGATGCAGGGTAAAGCAAAAGTCAGAACAAAATGTAGTCGCTTTGCCATTTCAGTCCTAGGCTGTCTTCTCATTTACTGTCTCCTGGCCAACTACTCCAGCTCTCTAATGATCCTCCACATCTCCTTTACGTTATTCCAGTTCCTGGGATGTGTGTATCTATAGTGAGCTGGAGCTGCCACTCTTGACTAGCAGCTGTTCTGACTTCACTTACTTTAGGCTGCTGTGGTTTCCATGACTGAAGTGACTAAGGGCTTGCCACCTTCCTTTACTATCCCTGTTTCTTCTGATCGTTTTAATCCTCAAATCTCTGTTTTCCTACTTGCCTGTGGCCTCCTTTCTGATCTTTCTTGTATTTTGGATCTTACCATAAACCTTGCCATTCTGGACAGCCTTCCCTGACCTTGTTGTCTTCCTCCCCCAGCATTCCCTGCTGGTTTATGTCCCTGTTTCCATCTAGAACTGTTGCTTGTTAGATTAGAATTGTTCCATCAGTGCCTCACACTCTAGTCCAGGGCTCGTGTTTGCCTTACATGTCACTTTGCCCTTGGTGCCAGCACCATGTTATACTCGTGGTAAATGGATGGATGTGGGTATTTAGAAAGCTTAAGTTATAACTAATTACTTGTAATAGTTGTTACCTTTTTAGTTAGTAGTCCCTGTATTTTATAACTGTTACTTTCAAATAAAGTGTTGATCACTTGAAGAAAATTAGTTTCATTTGATTCTTTTTCTCAGTGTGGAGTAGCTTCTGTCTTACCATTAGGAAATTTCCAAGGTCAGGTGGGTAATAACTACCAGATATGGATGGACTCAGACTGAGCTGTTTGGGCTCTGCAGCCTGCATTCTTTAGCTATTCCCCATTACCCATCCAATGTATACACACGCATGCGTGCACACACACAAACACACATACACACTGTATTGTAAGATTTTTGCATTTAGGGATGCTATTCTTGTTTTTTGTTTTGTTTTTGTTTTTGAGACAGGGTCTGAACAATGGGCTCCCAGCTGGCCTGGACCTCATTATGTAGACCACGTTGGCTTCAAACTCAACAGAGATCTGCCTGCCTCTGCCTCGAGTGCTGGGATTAAAGGTGTGCACCACCACACCCAGCATGGGATACTTTTTTAAAGATTAATGATTAGGAGTAGTTTGTTTTCGTGGTGACTTAACAGGACTTGGTTTGTGTGGCACAGTGTGTATTGTACATGTTGATAGTAAAGGCACAATTTATATAAGTATATGTTTTTATTTGTCTTGTTTGTTAACACAGAGCCTCACTAAGTAGCCCAGGCTGACCTAGAGTTTGCCATGTACCCAGGCTGTCTTCAAACTGGCAGGGATCCTCCTGCCTCTGCCTCCCAAGTGCTAGGATTATAGATGTCTGCCACTGTGCCCAAATTAAGAATACATTTTAATTCAAGGAGGAAGTTACATCACAATGTCTCGGGACTTAATTTTACAAACTATTTTCCTGTCTGATCAGGTTCTGACAGTAATGGTTCTTCTCATTTTAGGAACTATCTTTGCATACGGACAAACCGGAACAGGCAAGACTTTCACCATGGAAGGCGTGCGTGCTGTTCCTGAGCTTAGAGGAATTATTCCCAATTCATTTGCTCACATATTTGGTCATATTGCAAAAGCAGAAGGTGACACAAGGTCAGAGAATTCCTTGACTTACTAATACTGAGAGGCACGAACGAGAGAAAAGCCTAGAGGTCCATTTTATAAACACATTTAAAGACTTCTTATAAATGTTTTGTTGTATTTTGTATGATAAAATGTTTTATTTGTAGATTTTTGGTTCGAGTGTCATATTTGGAAATATATAATGAAGAAGTTCGTGACCTTTTGGGCAAGGATCAGACACAGAGGTTGGAGGTAAGGGTAGTTGGGATTGGAGTACTTTCCAAAGCAATGGATTACTCACCAAATTAAGATCCTTTTTGTACAAAAGCTGCTTTAAATATTTTTAGTAAGCATGTCCTTATATGCTTCCTCCCTCCCTCCCTCCCTCCTTCCTTCCTATCTTTCCTTTCTAAAAATTGTTTTATTTTTGAGAAAGGGTCTTGAGCTTAGACTGACCTGGAACTCACTATGTAGACCAGGCTGGCCTCAAACTCAACAAAAATCCACCTGCCTCTGCCTCCCAAGTATTGGGATTAAAGGTGTACGCCACCACGCATGGCCATGTATAATTTCTTACAAGTGCAGACATATCTGAGCAAAAAGTCACTGGAGCTGAATCAGGTGGTAAATTTGTTAGATGTTGCCATCTTAAAAATAATAAGATACGAGATAAGAAAAGATTAGCTTTTTAAATATTAATACTGGAATTGCATGTCAGCAAAATAATGAGGCAGCAGGTAGACGAAAGGGTAGCTATGTTCTGAGCTGCGGTGGGTCATGGGAACTTAGCAGACGTTACTGCCAGGCACCTGCAGAGGGCTGTGGCATGGCATTGGCAGAGAATTGCCATTTCATCTTCCCAGAAGTCATTTTACTCATGTAGAACTGAAAGTCACAGGGGTTTGTTACTTGCCCACAGTCAGGTAGCTCACAAACGGCCTTGTTATCTGGGGCAAAGTGACTCCTGGTCCTGTATCGGCGGGAGCTCTGCTTCCAATCTTGAGCTCGCTCTTCTACCTCTCTGAGCCTTAGTTTTGTCGCAGGAACATGGAAATAAAGGAAGTGTCTGTTTCGTGGGGTTATTGCCCACATTAACCAAACAAAATGGTCAACAGTAATCTTCCATGAAGAGTGAAGATGCTTTTACATCAGTACCACGGCTGTGACTTCATGCAGCTTCTTGGACTTCTCATTATTTCAAGTTGCTGTTGGCATTAATCTTGCCCCTGCCTTCCCTGAAAAAAAAATCTCATCTTTTTTTCTCCAGTTACCCTCTTGTGGCTTTTTAGGTTTTGTTTAAAAGATTTTTTTTTTTTTTTTTTTTTTTTGAGACAGGGTCTCCCTGTAGCCCCAGCTGTCCTGGAACTCACTATGTAGACAGGCTGGCCTTGAACTTACAGAGATCCACCCGCCTCTGCCTCCCAAGTGCTGGGACTACAGGCGTGCACTACCACACCCGGCTAAAATAATTTTTATTCTTTTAAAAAATTTTGGGGGCTAGAGAGATGGCTCAGTGGTTAACAGCACTGGCTGCTCTTGCAGAGGACCTGGGTTCAGTTCCCAGCACCGACATGGCAGCTAACAACCATCCTAACTCCAGTTCCAGGGGATCTGATGCTCTTTTGACCTCCACAAGCATTGCATGACATGGGTGCACTTAAATACATGAAGCCAAACACTCAGGCACATAAAATAAATTTAAAAATAAAAAATAAAAATAAAGTATGTGCGCGTGTGTGATGTGAGTGAGTTCAGGGAACTGAACCCCAGTCCTCTGCAAGAGCAGCAAGTGTTCTTAACCGCTAAGCCATCTCTGCAGCCCCCATAATTTATTATATGTGTGTTTACTTACCTCTGTGTGCATGTCACATGTCATAGCATGTGGTGGTTAGAGGATAACTCTGAGGATTTAGTTCTTTCACCATGTAGGCCCTTAAGATTGAACTCAGATCGTCAGGCCTTACCTGCCGAACCATCTTCCCAATGCTGTTTTTATTTTTGTAAGTGCCTAATTTTTTTTTCCATTTGAAGATCTTGCACATGTTCGCCTACCCTCAACCAATCTACTTCATATCTCTTCAAGTTTTAGCTTAAACATTATATTTCAGAAATGTTTTCTGTTCCTTTCACTGACATATTGTCCCTGAAATATATTTCCATGGCAACATGGCTCCGCAGGTGCTTGCTGCTGAACCTCATGACCTGAGTTTGATCCCTAGGACCCACACAGGGGAAGGAGAGAACTGACCTCCACATGAGTGTCCAGGATTGCACACTACACATGCACATACACAAAAAAACTAATTAAAAAAATAGAATACACTTCCATAGTATCTTGTGTGTTTTAGTCTTGGCATCATCACAAAGTGAAATATTTTTGTGTGCATATATTTGCTTTATGTTCTCCTTTTACCTGACCTCCTCTGTGAGCCTCTGTAGACACTGCCTGTCCTGTTCATTGCCATCTTTGCTGTCTTAATAGTGTCTGACACATGCAGTATGTGCTCAGTAAGCAACTGCAAGAGTATTGTTAGAAATGTCAAGTCCTACGTTTGTTTGTTTTCTAGGTTAAAGAAAGACCTGATGTGGGAGTTTATATCAAAGACTTATCTGCTTACGTGGTCAATAATGCTGACGATATGGATAGGATTATGACACTAGGCCACAAAAATCGTAAGTGCTGTGTGGGATGTGAGGCGTGTGAGCGGGTCGTTGAGAAGCAGAGCTAGCATGGCTTTTGCCCTCAGCTTGACATCTGTTTTTTGAAAACCCACTTACTTTATTTACTGTCCAGGAAACATGCATTATCAGGAGGTGGTCTGGTTGTCTCCATGACCACTGCAGCTCTCTTTTTGATAGTTCCATCTTTGAAGCTGTCATATTGCTGTTGCTTGTTAGTTGCAATATTGATAGCGGTTTTTGTTGAGCACTTCTGAATGGGAAGTGCTGGTGCTATGTGCTCCGTAAGGATAACTCTTAGTCCTCACCATGGACTGTGGGGATTCTAAGTTCCTACTTTATGAATAAGACTGAGACCTAATTTAAGTCCCATGTCTAGGTAGTGTGATGGCTAAGGAACAGGGTGAGTATATGAGCCTAGGCCACTAGTCTGTGTTGACCAGAACCTACACTCCCTCTCTGTTGAAAAGCAAAGCAAATTAAATTTGAATTTTCTATCTTTCTAACAGTAGCTTTAAGTTTTTAATCAAAAGGCTAATAATATCAGCATTTAACTTTGATGGTTCCCAAGACAAACACTGTTGGTGCTGCCAGTAGGAGTCCGAGGTTAGAGGCAGAGATAAGGATTGGGGGGCGGGGGGCGGGGGCAGGCATGGTGGTCACACCTGTGAGCTCAGTACTCAGGAAGCAGGAAGGTCAGGAGTTCAAGACCACCTTTGCCTGTGTAACAAGTTAAAGGCCAGCCTGGGCTATGTGAGACCTCACATACAGCGTTTTTTTCATTTTTTCACCAGTTTTTCATTTATCCTCCTTCTTTGCACTTTATCAGTGCATGTTACATTTTATATGACTTCTGAAAGCCACAGACTAGTAAAGAATACTCTTGTAATGTCTTAATGTCCAAAATCAAAGCTTGCTTAGAGAAGTTCTATATGAGGGACTGGCAAGATGGCTCAGCAGTTAAGAGCACTCATTGCTCAGTTCCCAGCACCTACATTGGGCAGCTCACAGCTACCTAGCTGCCTGTAACTCCAGCTCCTGGGGATCCAATGCCTCTCTTCTCTGTGGGCACTATGTGTGCGCAATACACACACACACAATTAAAAATAAAATACTAAAAATAGAAGTTCGGCATGAATGTATGGTATGAAGATAGTTTGGACATTGGGTGAAATTAATGAGTTGGGCACACGCCTTTAATCCCAGCACTCAGGAGGCAGAGGCAGGCGGATCTCTATGAGTTCAAGGCCAGCCTGGTCTACATAGTGAGTTCCAGGACAGCTGGGGCTTCAGGGAGACCCTGCCTCAAAAAAAAAAAAAAAGTAATGAGTTGAAGATACTTGGAAGGCCGCACATGTTTATAATCCCAGCTCTTGGGAGGCTGAGGCACAGAGATTGAAGATCTGAGGCCAACCTGCCTTATATAGCTAGACCCTGTCTAAAAAATTAAATACTTTGGAATTTAAGGAAAAAACAAATACATGCTTATTCTAAAAATGTTTTTCTTCATTTATACGATGTAGTCACTCTGTAAAGTATTTATGCACATGTGAGTATTTAATATTTATGCACATGTAAATGATTAGTAGTCTTAATTTACAAAAATGAGGTTATACTATTATGTTCTTGGCTTTTTAAAAAGTTTTTCCTGCGTCAAGCCTTGGTGGCGCACGACTTTAATCCCAACACTTGCTGGGATTAGGCAGGTGGATCTATGAGTTTGAGGGCAGCCAGTCTACATAGTATAGTGAGACCCAGTCTCAGAAAATTTTTCCTTGAAACAGGGTCATGGTAGTTCAAGCTGAGTTTGTAATCCTCCGCCTCTGTGCTGGGATTACAGGCATTTGCCTCCATTACTGACTTGACTTGGCATTTTAAAAATGGCATCTAAAGTCACTGGGTACATATCTCTCTCTCTCTCTCTTTTTTTGGTCTTTTTGAGATAGAATCTCCTTAGCCCAACTGGCCTGGAATTTGATATGCAGACCAAGCTGGCCTCATCTTGGACTAAAGGAGTGTACCACCATGCCTGGCAACCTTTCTCATATTTTCAGTGTCCCCCTTGGGAATCAGAGTACCACTATTTTATGATGACTGACTTTTCTGGTCCTTACTGTTGTAAGCAGTTGCTGTACTGATTATTCTTGCAGTGTCCAGTGCATGTGCGCAAGTAGTTCTGAGGTTTCAGGGTCCAAGAACACCATTCTAGAGAGTGCTGAATCACCAGTGATTATTTTCCCCAACTATTTAACCTGTATGTGTGGATGTTTAAATAGAGAGTATCTTGCTATATTGCCCACGCTGGCCTGGATCACCTGGGCTGAGGTGATCCCCTACCTTAGCCTCCCAAGTAGCCGAAACTACGGGTCTACACCACACATCCAGTTTTATAATTCATTTATTTAAAGGCATGCGCCACCATGCCCAGTTAAATTATTTGTATTTTTATATAGTAATACCTGAGGTTGAAATTAGGAACTTTATGTTGTTATGTCAAGTTTCATTTCTGTTGCTGTGAAGTACCCTGACAGAAGCAGCTTAGAAGAAAGAATTTACTTGGCCTAGGATTCCTGATTACAGTCCATCACTGTGGGGAAGTCTGGGCAGGGACTTAAATCATCACACCCACAGTCCGGAGCAGAGAGAACAAAGGCCTGGACCCTCAGCCAGCTCTCTTCTCTCTGACAGTGTTCAGAATCCCCTGCCTAGGAAATGGTGCTGCCCACAGTGGGCTGGATCTTTCCACATCAACTAACAAGACAGTCCCTCATAGACACACCCACAGGCCAGCCTGATCCAGATCATTTCTCATTAGGACTCTCTTCTCAGGTGATTCTAGATTATGTCAGGTTGGCAATTAAACTAGCCAGTGCAGTTAATGTCTTTAACATAAGGAACATTACAAATTCTTGGGTTATAAACATAAATTACAAGAAAAGTTTTGGGACTGGAGAGATGGCTCAGCAGTTAAGAACACTTGACTGTTCTTGCAGAAGATCCGGGTTCGAATCCCAGTACCCACATGGCAGCTAATAGCTGTCTGTAACTCTACTTCTAGGGGATCCGACAGCCTCTTCTGTCCTCTTCGGGCATTGGACAACACGGGTGCACTTACCTACATGCAGGCAATACACTCACACACATAAAATAAAAATAATAAATCTTAAAAAAAGAAAAAGGAAAGTGTCATATAATGGCCAACCACATCTGTGATTTCATAGTTTAGTTTTATGCTATAGGTTTTGATTGTGATGAATTTTAATATTGTAATTGTTCTGGATATTTAATTACTGAAGGTATTCACTGGGTTTGGGGATGTAGCTCAATTGGTAGAGTTCTTGCCTAGCATGCACAAAGCCTTGGCTCAAACCCCAGTACTGCATAAACTGGGTATGGTGGCACATGACTATAATCTCTTTATTCAAGAGGTGGAGGCGGGTAATCAGAAGTTCAAGGTTAGCCATGACTACATAGAGAGTTCAAGGCCAGCCTGGGCCATAAAACACTCTGTCTAAACAAACAAACAAAAATAAATAAATATAAAATATGTTGCAGTTTTTGAAGGTTTCTTTTCTTTGGTAAAGGTTCTGTTGGTGCAACTAATATGAATGAGCACAGCTCCCGTTCCCACGCCATCTTCACAATCACTATAGAGTGCAGTGAGAAGGGCGTTGATGGAAACATGCACGTCAGGATGGGGAAGCTCCATCTTGTAGATCTTGCTGTAAGTAACGGGATACTATCTAAGGAATACTTCTTCCCTGTGATTCATTCATGAATGAATGAATGAAAATCAAAGTGAAAAGATATGATTTATGTATGATTTTTAAATTCTTGCTAGTGTGTCTTAACTTATTCTAGAATATTTCATGTATATTGAAAGTAGCTACGATGGTATTGATTCTTCACCACCCAGTGTCAGCAATGTCCACTTGTGGCTGGTTGTATGTCATCTCCTCACATCCACTTCCTGTATTGTTTTGAATTCCGGATGTCATATGAGATATTTTATCACTGAATTACTTTTAGAAAAAGACTTTGGAAAAGAATATTCTGCTTTAAAACAAATTGAGTTTGATTTCTATCTCCTGCTTGTTGCCAGGGCTCAGAAAGACAAGCAAAAACCGGAGCTACAGGACAGCGCCTGAAGGAAGCCACAAAAATCAACCTTTCCCTTTCCACCCTTGGCAACGTCATTTCTGCCTTGGTTGATGGAAAAAGCACTCACGTGCCTTATCGGAACTCTAAATTGACAAGGCTTCTTCAAGATTCCTTAGGCGGAAACTCAAAAACCATGATGGTAAGACTCAAGTCACAGCATAGCTAGTTAATATCAGGGAAACTGAAGATTGTATTTATGCCCATAATTGATATGAACAACACTTTAAAGATCAATTCCTTTACTCTTTGGATTTGTGGTTATCCTTTATGTGAAGCGCCGTATGTATTTGCCCACAGTTGTGTCTTTGGAAACCTGTGTGATTGACATTTGTTTTCAAAAAAGAGAAGTTGTATATGTATTTCATCATTTGCTTTTTTGTTTATTTTGCTTTATTTATTTATTTTTTTGGTGTATATGTTTTTTTGAGACAGAGTCTCCCCACTGCCCCAGGCGACCTGGAACTTGCTATGTAGACTAGACTAGCCTTTGTCTCACAGAGATCCACCTGCTTCTGCCTCTCAGTGCTGGGATCCCAGGCATGGGTCACCGTGCCTGGCCTTTCAGCATTTGTTTTGATTTATTTGTCTTTGTAGTTTGAAATGATGGTATGAAATGATTTCTGTTTCTAATTTCACAGTGTGCAAATATTGGGCCAGCAGATTATAATTACGATGAAACCATCAGCACGTTACGGTATGCCAACCGTGCCAAGAATATTAAGAATAAGGCTAGAATTAACGAAGATCCAAAGGATGCTCTACTTCGTCAGTTTCAGAAAGAAATAGAAGAACTGAAGAAAAAGCTTGAGGAAGGTGATGTGTTCAGAATGCTGTCAGCTGCAGTGCATGTGACCACTAAGTGTTCCAGCAAGGCTACCTTGTGAAGTTTTGAGCCTTTAACATTGATATTTAAAATATTTGTGTGTGTGTATGTGTGTGTGCAGGTACACACATTCCAGAGCACATGTGTATAAGTCAAAGGTGACCTTCAGGAGCTGGTTCTCTCCTACTCTGGGTTCTAGGAATCAAACTCAGGTCAGGCTTGCAAAGTAAGTGCTTTTACCTGCTGAGCTATCATGCTGCTCCCCAACATTGACATTTAAAAATAATATTTCTGAGAAATATGTATCTTCTAAGAAAATGCTTTCTTAGAAGGTTAGAAAGTTTTGATGGCAGTAAGCAACTTCCCAGTCAGTGCCCAGGCACTCCCACACCCACAATGTAAAAGGCAGATAGACCCTTTCTGATTGTCATAGAACTCCCTGTGTGCCAGGTAAACAGGGGCCTTGAAACTGCCTTTGAAGTCTCTGGGGAACTGACTAGATTGGGGGAAATCCAGAGATGTTAACCCTGCCACAGATGTTTGGAGGAGATGTTGACTCAGTAAACTTGAGTAAGACGCTGAGGAAAAGCAGTGAGTGAATGTCTGGTTCTTTTTTTTCATTTTTTATTGAATTATTGTGTATTTCATAGAGAACATCTTAATCAACTTTATATCCCCTTCCCCATCGGCACCTGCCCGTGCCGCCCCCCACTGGTTTTCATGCATTCTGTCTTTTGTGTTAAGGCCTATCGTGTCAAGTTAGTGTCCCCAGACGTCCCTCAGTGTAAGTTCATCCACTAAGCTCTAGGCAGCCTATCTAGATTCCCTTCCTTTAAGAAGATCAGCTCTTCCTCACCTAGCAGTAATCAGCTGCCAATAATTCTTCAACTAAGATTGGGGCCTGCTGCCCATTTCCTCAGTTCTGTGCTGGGTTTTTGTCTGCTTGAGTGTGCATGGGTCTGTGCATGCTGACATCATTGCCGTAGGGTCATATGAGAAGGGACTTCATTTCCATGTGGTCACCTCCTCACTGGCTCTTACAGTCTTTCTTTCCCCTCTTCCACAGTGGTCCCTGAACCCAGAGTGGGTAGATTTTTGATATAGGAGTCCTGTCCAAGGGCCACACTCTGTAGACTCTTATTCTCTACATTTTGGCCGTTTGTGACTTTTTATGTTTATGTTCCTGGCTCTCTTGCATGAGGGAGCTTCATTGATGAGAATTGAAAGATGCATTAGTGTTCTCTTTATCCCTTGTTCTGTTTTGTGAGTCTTAGGTGTAGAGGTTGCATCCTGGATGTGCCACTTAGGTTGGGGCAGTTCACAGATAGTCTCTTGTGTGTGACCAGTGGCGTAACTCTGTAATAATATCTGTTGAAAAAGAAGCTTTTTGATGAGTGGTGACTGGGATACTTGTCTATAAATTTAAGGATTCATATTTTGCACATAGTAAGAATTACATTTGTCTAGAGATGTGACCACCTTGGGGTTTCCTCTGAGAGGAAGTTGACATTCTTAATGTGGCCACTAGGTGGTATTTATAGCTGCTATATTCTCAAGATGTTTAATTTCTCAGGGTGTTCGCCTTGAGTGCATGCCTTTGTTTTGCGAAGTGTCTGGTTCAGTGGTATTAAGAACTTTCACATTTTGTGCAGTTGTCACCGCTGTCCACCTCCAGAACTTCATCATCCCAAATAGAAAGTGCCATTGCACATGAATTCCCTATTCCTCTCTCCCTCTTTTATCCACTGTTCTTCCTGTGTCCATGCATTTGACTGCTCCAGGTACTTCTATCATTAGAACAGTGCAGTATTTGTGCTTTGGTGACTGGGTTATTGACTTAGCAAAATGCCTTCAGGGTTCACCCATGCTATAGTGGGTCAGAATTTCTTTCCCTCTTAAGTCTGAACAGTGTTCTGTCATGTATATATACTATGTTTTGATCACCTATTAATGGGTGTTTGAGTTACTTCCACCTTCTGACTTGTGTGAGTTATATGGCTGTGTTCGTCAGAGTATAAAAACCTCTTCAAGTCCTTGCTTTGTGTCCAGGTTGTTGCTGCACATTGTTTGGGGTGTATCCCCAGAAGCAGCATCGCCAGGTCATATGGTTATACCGTTTACAGTGCACTTCATTTTGGTTGTGCTCTTATGACTCTGCTCCCATTTTCAAAATCTAGTTAATAGAATACTCATAAACAAGTATAGGCAAAAGCATTAAAGGAATAATCTTATGAACGTCTTGTTTTACCCATCTGCTCTGCCTGGTATTAGTGTCTTGCACAATCCTGGTACTATCACTAAAGCCATAAAATTTATATTGGTACAACGTTACTACCCTGCAGGCCTTGCTCAAACTTTCCCAGTTTTTCTTGCAGTGCTTTATTCTAAATCTGGGATCTGTCCAGGATATGATGTTAGATTTATTTGCGCATCCTCTTCACCTCCCTCCATCTACCAAAGGTCCTTGGCCTTTCTTTGTTTTTCAGGCTCTAGGTGTTTCTTTTCTTTTCTTTTTTGGTCTTTTTGAGACAGGGTCTCTCTGCATCTCCAGCTGGCCTAGAACTCACTATGTAGACCAGGCTGGCCTTGAACTCACAGAGATCCTGCCTCCCAAGTGCTGGGATTAAAGGTGTGCGCCACCATGCCCAGCAGGATCTAGGTGTTTCTAAGAAGCACTGGCCAGAGTCTCACAGAATGTTCCTTTATTTGGGTTCATGTACACAGTAGGTCCTCTCTAGGGGAAGACAGTGTGAGGCTCTGTGCGGTACTTTTTCCTGTTCCGGAGTCACAACCATGATTTTGTGATATTTGGTCAGTAGAGGTTTTCCATCATTATTCCCTCTGCATTTGGTGTTTTCTGTTCTGAAGAGGAGGCTCTTCCCCCCATTTATTATTTATTTATGCATTTATTCTTTTTAGCCCATGGATTGTAATCTGATACTGTCATCCTTTTTTTGCTCATTAGGGGTGCCTTCAGGGTGGCCCCTTGATCCTTGCAGTTTTAAAGGAGTTGTTTGGTAAATTTTCTTTCTTTTTCTTTTTCTTTTTTTTTTTTTTTTTTTTTTTTTTTTGTCTTTTTGAGACAGGTCTCCCTGTAGCTGTAGCTGGCCTGGAACTCACTGTGTAGACCAGGCTGGCCTCCAACTCACAGAGATCTGCCCACCTCTGCCTCCCAAGTGCTGGGACTAAAGGTGTGTGCCACCATGCCTGGCGAGGAGTTGTTTGGTAAATTTTCATCAGCTTGTGTTTCAATACTTCTTTTTATAAGGTGTTTTAGGCTTATCTTACATCTTCTCATCCATGATTAGAATCAACTTTCCCATCCATGATTAGAATCTGCGTTTCCCTGGCCCCTGCCCTGGGGATGGAGTTTAGCAGCCAGGGTTTTAGCAATAAGTGTGCTCAGTGCTACTAAGGCATCACTGCTTCCAGGCAGAGAACAAAATGTTTTATTTAAATTTAAAAAATTTTTTGTGTACGAGTGTTTTGCCTGTGTGTATGTAAGTGCACCCATGTCGTGCACTGCCTTTGGAGGTAAGAAGAGGGCATTACATCCCCTGGGACTGGAGTTAGGAATGGTTGTTGGCTGCCATGTGGGCACTGGGAACTGAACCCGGGTGTTCTGCAGAGCAGCCTGTGCTCTTAATGGCTGAGCCATCTCTCCAGCCCTGAGAACAAAACATTTTTAAGGGTTCTTTTACCCAGCACTTTGCTCTCTTTCCGCCCTGTGTATGTAGGTGCAGTTGTTACCTGATTGTGATCTGTGTGTTTTTATTTTTTCTCTCTCCAGTTTCCTTTGTTTTTGTAAATGTTTCAGAGGTGGACAGCACTATTTTAAGAGAATTAATTTGGGCTGGTATTGGTGGTAAATGTCTAAACCCCAGCACTTGAGAGGTAGAGGCAGGAGGAATGTGAGTTCAAGGTTATTCTCAGCTATATTGTGAGTTAGAGGTTGTCCTGAGCTTCATGAAGCTCTGCCTTAAAAAAAAAAAAAGTGTCTGGGGAGATTGGGGCTCAGCAGGTAATACCTACATAAGATGAACAGCTGCATAAACATGAGGCCTGAGTTCACAGTTCTCACTCCCATGTAAAAACGCAGACATGGTCTCACAAGCCTGTAATCCCAGTGCTGTGGAGAGTAAGACAGGGTGCTTGGGGCTTGTGGAGGGCCATCCTGGCTCCATGCTCAGTGAGAAACCCTGTCTTAAGGGAATAGGGCAGACTGTGATCCAACAGGACACCCAGTGCATCCTCTGGCCTCTGTATGTGCATGGGTGTGTGCATGGGTACATGTACCTGCACACACTCAGGTATATAACACACACACACACACATACAAGAAAAAAATTTGGAGGCAATATAGTGCTACTCTGTTAATCTTAATTTAGTCATTCTTTTTGTTTTCAAGTTAATATGTAATTAGCATTATCTATAACAATAAGCCCTTCTTGTGCAATATTTCTTGTGATATAATTGTATATAGTTGTATAGTTTCATTGTATTAGACGACAGTTTTATGACTTCTTTGTGTGGTTGGTTTGTGTTTTGATACAGGGTCTTATTCTGTAGCCCCAGCTAGCCTTGATCCCATGGCTGTCCTACTGTCTCAGCTTCCAAAGGTTTGACTCTTAAAAACAAAGATAGGGGACTGAAGAGATGGCTCAATAGTTAAGAGCACTGACTGCTCCTGCAGAGGACCTGGGTTTTGTGCCCAGCACCCACATGGTGGCTCACAACTGTCTGTAATTCCAGTTCGAGGGGATTAGATGCCCTCCTCTGGCCACTCTGGGCACTGCACTGCATACACGTGGTGCACCCACATACATGCAGACACCTACATACGCTGCATACAATGTACCTGCATACACTGCATGCACAAGATGCACCTACATACATGCAGGTGTTTACTCATACACATAAAATCCAAAAGAAAAACAAAACATAAAGATAGAATGATGTGAAATTATAAACAGAAAACAGGGTAAGATGCTTCCCAAAGTGATAACACTTTTAAAAGGCGAAAAGCTAACACACAATCTTTGTATACCTTTAGAGCTGTAATTGAGAGGGTCAGATTTTAACTTCTCTTGAAGGACTTAAAAAATAAAATTTCTAAAACGTGAAATTTCTCTGTGCATCTCCCATGAGGAGAGGGAGGTCATGTGTGCACGTGGAGGCTAGAGTGGGTGTTGTTCCTTGGGTATGGTTCACTTTTTTTTTTTTGAGACAGGGTTGTTCACTGGCCTGGAACTCACTGAATAGGCTTCACTGGCTGTTTAGTGACTCCTCCTGTCTTTCCTTCCTCAAGTGCTGGGATGACAAGCACAGCCACCATCCCTGACTTTTCTTACACAGGTTCTGGGGATCAACTCAGGTGTTCATGCTTGCCAGACTGACTGAGCTACCTATTTCTGAGATTAGCATATCAGGTGCACAATCTAGGAACATTTAATTTGTATTTGGGGGCAACAAAAACTTAATGAAGAAAACTGATATAGACATTTTCTAAGTAACCAGTGACCTGGTACAGACTGAAAATTGTTGTGTTAAATTTCTATCCAAGGAGAAGAAGTATCGGGCTCTGACATCAGTGGGTCAGAGGAGGACAACGAGGAAGGTGAACTTGGAGAAGATGGAGAGAAAAGGAAGAAGAGACGGGGTAAGCTCCGCCCTGGTCGTAGCTGGCAGACCTGAGCGCACTCACCCAGTTCACCTTCACTGTGCCGGGCACAGAGTTTTGCTTTCTGTTTTGCTGTGTTTAATATGGTGGCAGTTCAGCAGGGATCACATGCCACATACGTGGTTAATGTTTAAATTTCTTCTCTCGTTTATAGTTGACTCCGGATACCATATTGTCTCTCTTCTCATAAACTTTACAATGTTAAAAGTAGATGTGCTGTTTACAACTTTATGTTGGGATTTTGTCCTGTGTAGGAATTTCCATCTGGGTTAGGAACCTGCTTTTCTTGAAATTAGGATAATGTGGGATTTTTCCTCCCGTGAGGTTAGTCTTTAGATGTCATTTGCCAGCTGACTGAGGATTGTTTTACTTCCTTTTCTTCATGAAACGAGCTGTCATTCTCACCCCAAGGCATAGTCTCCAGAGGGAACCTGGACTTTCTGGGCTGGGTGGCCTCCATCCCAGACATCTCCACCCTGTGGTTTCAGGGCTCTCTCCTATTAGTGCGGATCTTTGTTTTGAAGCTGGTGCATTGTGCTTGTGGTAGTGAAATGATCTTGCTGAAAACAAGCCTGTCACTGCTTGGTGAGGAGCCCACATTAACTGAAGATCTTGCGAATTCAAGTCAGGGAAAGCCCCGCATAGGGCAAAAGTGGGCAGAGCGGAACCTGCTGGTCAAATCCTACCCAAACCTGTTTTTGTAAATGGAATGTTAAAGCAGCCAGGCTCGTTTGCTTACATGTGGTCTGGGGCTCTCACATAGCAGCGCGGGGTCTGCATAGTGCAGGGTGCTGTCCAGCCTGTTGCAGAAGATGTTTGCCAGCCCCCAACTTAAAGAAGAATGTTTTTATTCATAGTTAGTTTTTCAGAGTAAACTATAGATAATAGACTTTCTAAAAGTAAATTTTTTTTTTTTGTCTTTTTTGAGACAGGGTCTCCTTGTAGCCCCAGCTGTCCTGGAACTCACTATGTAGACCAGGCTGGCCTTGAACTCTCAAAGATCCACCTGTCTCTCCCTCCCAAGTGCTGAGATTAAAAGCATGTGCCACCATGCCCGGCTCTAAAAGTAAATTTTGGACGACAAGACGTGTCACTGTCCAATATGTTGAAGTATTTAGAGTAATACGCCTTACTTCTAGACCTAGGAGTTTAAATTCTTCAGTGAGCCTCTTGAGTTACGCTATCAAACCTTAAATAATGACATATGTGATAGCTGATGTTTTGAGGGAGAGAAGGCAGTTAGGGGCACACTGTCTTGCCTGTATGAAGAGCAGTTTATTTCTAGAACACTGTGTGTGACTTTGAGTTTTAAAGCTGTTCCTTTTACTTATCAGCTTAAATAGTTTAGATAGATTTGAATGTCAACAAGTGACCTTTTAATTTGTGTCACTCCAACCCTCTGAACAACTTTTAGATGAGAGTGGGGCTTGCCCACTACTGCCAGTCTTGAGTACGTGCTCTGTCCCCATATGCTCTGTAAACTAAGGATACTGGACAGAGCTCTGCCGAGACTGGTCTTAGGGGAAAGTAAGTTATGGTGCTTTTAATGCAAAGCTTGATTGTCTTTAACATTCCTTCTCCAAAACTTAATTTCTCTGTCTGTTCATGTCTTGCTTCCTCTGTCGCTGGTTCACGCTGGGCTGTTTCTTTGCCTTCCAGGCAGTAGCAGCAGCAGTAGCTCAGACTCCACATGCTCTGTCGTGGAGAGACCTCTGGATAAGTTCTTGCCTAGTGAGTGGCAGCTCTTCCCTTCCCTAGCAGAGCTTTGGCTTCTCCATCACTCATGGGCTTCATTTGGGAGATGCTGCACACTCCCCGTCATGACTGGAGTACATGTTGTAGACCTGAGCATGTGACACCCACCCGCCCGCCTGCCTTGCTTCAGTTAACCACGACTGAAAACATAGGCTTCAGCTTATGTTTGAGACAATGGAAGAGTTAATGCTTTTGTATTGAGATAATGTAGAGAGAGCGCATAAGCTGCATAAAAGGACAATTCTCAGCATTCTTTTCCTTTATGAAGTTTTAACCTTGGTCAGTGTAAGAGGCAGGTGGCCACAAATCTTGAATCTCTACAAGTACAAATTCTAATTTTCAGTCCACCAGTGCCCATGACATGCTGTGTGCTCATAAACAGTATACGCTCTGGTATCTTACTCTGAAGAGCAGTTCAAGAATGCTTCCAGAGAAGTAAGTTGTACAGTTTGAAGGAAGCAAAGTTAACAATAGGATTTTGTTCAAATAGGTGTACGTCCCTATTTCTAAACTACCAGGTATATTTTAAGATGTTTTCTAAGATGTGATTTGAGAACACAGAGTCACATAAAGTTCATAAAGACTCTGTCTAGACTTATCTCAAGCTTACAGAGTTTTTTGAAAACCTTAAATTAAAAAGTATTACTTTATCTGTTTGTACTTTATTCTCAGAAGAAAAGGGAGCAGTGCTTCCCTCCACCAGCTGCAGCTTACGCTCTGAAGCATTATCTATGGCCTTGTCTTTTCCAAAACTAATAAAAATAATTTCTTTTAGCTTTCTAGAGGAAAAGTTTCAAGAATATCAAATCATTTTGTCTATTGGCAATGTTTAGGCAAGTTACCAAAAGAACTAATTTCACTGGATAATTTATAAAATACATGGCATTGTTTATTGCCCACATGGAAGTGCAGTTTTATATTATAAACTGTGGAAGGAGAGAAAACATCTAATTTTCTGTTGTAAAACTTACATGACAGTAGGTTGTGAAATCAGCTGTACTTTGTTCAAGTTTGATTTTTCAGTTCAGGAAACTTTTAATTGCTGTTTGCATACCTAACATCCAGCTTTCGTTGTTGGAACATGGATGTGCTGATCACATGGATAGTGGTTGTCCCAGCATGTGGTTGTTGTATGAAACTTTGTATGTATGTCCCCTCCCATTAAAAAATCTGAATGGCCTTTTAGGTGTCCCTTGCTTGAATCATCAGTTGTCATTCGCTTCTCCAGAATCATCATGTAATTCCCCTAACAGTCTCCCGATGACTGAATAGAAGTTCGCTACTGTACAGGTGTGCTTCATTTTATGTGATTTTTTATCTGGGGAAAAAAAACTGCTTACAAATCAAGTTTGAAAATCAAATATATTGTCTGCCTGCTGTCTTTAAAAATGCATTCACCCTTTTGGTAATCACATCAGTGCAAATTACTGTAACTAATTTATCTGTTTAGTTGTTTCAGGTCTATCTGGTGGATCTTCTTAAAATGGGGGACACCTGTAATGGACCTTTGCACTAGAAGACACATTGAATTGGGAAATGTTAGAAATGAATAGTGGGGACTTCCTTACTTTAACTTGCTCATTTTAAAAATTGGCTTCATTTTGGGTTTTGCCCTTTTAGATCATTTCCCAGGTCTTAACAGGTTCCCAATTCCATGTCTAGTTCCATTAGCACAAGCACATGGCACTGAGCTGTTCACGTTTGCAGGGGTCGCTGTGAGCCCTGGAGTTTGAGTGGTAACTGTAGAGTAAATTGTCCTGCGTATCAGATATGCTCTCCTTTCGTGGACTCTGTTTCCGTTTTGATTGTTTGCTTTATTTCTACAGCGGTGCTAAGCGAGTGCTATTGCACACTCTTTGTTTTACAAAGGGAATAATGTTTTCCTTTTTTCCTCCTCATCTCTGTGCATGTGCTTCCTGTCTGTGACCTGCTTACCACTTCTTATTGCAAGATCAAGCAGGTTGGTGTGATTGGTTTGCACTCCACTTGGTACAGTTATTTAACTTAGCAAGAACTTCCTATTTAAGCACATAGCATTTTAAAATTCTAATAATTTTTATAAGGTAAGTATCTGTGTTTTGTATTTTAAAAAATTCAATTTTAACTGATTTTTTAAAAAACACATTTTTCCCTAAATTCTTAAAGACAGAATTTTTTAATAAAATTATAAATCATTTGCCATTCAGTCATTTTCCTCATTTTTTTGAAGAACAAAAATCAAGTGCCTACTACACCCCTGGCGCGCACAGTAAAGGGAACAGAGCTGCGCCTGCCGTGCCCCCCAGGTCACTTGCACTGCTGGTTGGCACGTGGTAAGGGCACCTGGAAGTGTTTCTACTTCTCTTTGACCTTGATTAAATACCTTTTATGACATTAACATTACTTTTTTAGATTTATTGACTTGAGATTTTGTGCTAAATTTTATGCCGTATTGGTGTAGTTCTAGGTAAAAGCAAGTTTTGGGGTTTGGGCCTTTTTTTTTTGATAGGTTTGGTTGATAAGATTTTGTATGTGGTGCTGGGGATTAAACCCAGGGCTTTGCACATGGTAGGCAAGCTTTGGGCTGCACCTCCGTCCCCTTTGAAAATCTTTTAAAAGATACATGTAGTCTCTTCTCCCATTGGAGGAATCAGAGCTCTCGTTTACTGTGAAGAGGACAGGAGACCTTAGGCTCCCTGTAGTGCAGGTCCCTTCTTCCTGGACTTACAGTCTCCCCCAGTGGGAAGCAGCCTCTGGAGGCCAAGGCTTATACAGGAGAGCAAAGGGTAAAACTTCACTCCTTAAAAATCTATGTAAAAGTGACTTTTAAGTGATAATACATTTTGTTGGTTTTTTTGTTTGAGACAGGATCTTCCTGTAGCCCCAGCTGGCCTGGAACTTCCTATGTAGACCAGACTGACCTCAGTCTCATAGAGATCTGTCTGCATCTGCCTCCTGAGTGCTGGGATTAAAGGTGTGCTTCTGCACCACTATGCCTGGCATGCTAATGGCATTTTTAAATGTTTGGTTACCCAATCAGTACCTATTTATAGTTCTCTTAAAATGTTGTTTGAAAAAACAGCATGAGTTGTCACAGTGTTCTGGCTAGAGTAATAGGTGACTTCAATATGCAGACTTTTGAAACTGACCGTAGCTATGGAGAATGAATCTTCAAGAAACTCCCCATAGAGCACAGTGAGGCTTGGGCTTCTGGAGCATAGGCTTGAGAGAGTCACCTGACCGGTTCTGAGGCATGCACATTTATATTTTGATATGCAGACCCTTTTCATGTTACTACCTCCTGATGAGTTTTGGATTTTTTTTTTTTTTCCGGTCTTTTTGAGACAGGATCTCCCTGTAGTCCCAGCTGTCCTGGAAACTTCATGTAGACCAGACTAACCTTTAATCGTGAGTCCTGGGATTAAAGGCATGGGCCACCATGCCCGACTGGGAACTACTTTTTAAATCTTCACAAAACAATTAGAAACCTACCAGTCTAGATCTAGAAGTGCTTCTGCACCTGTTGATTTGATTATTTCATCTGCTCCATTAGTGCCCAGGCCTTTTACATACATTTTTTTTGGTTTTAACAAATTTGCCATTTTTCTTTTAACATTTGTAATCCCGAGGTGGAAGTTACATGTTTTAACGTACATGGACTTCCTTTCCTGTAAATCTGAACTTAGACTTCTCAGATTTTTAAGAAATATTGCCAATAGAAAAATCTTCTAGGGATTCATTGGGAGTAGGAGTTAAATTACTTGTAAAAATTAATTTTTTTAGCAGCGTAATTCAGAAGGTTCAAGACAAGAGGCTGTCCCATGCCAACAAGCTGGTAGTCCAGGTCTACATGCTGACTTGGATGCAAAGAATCACACCACACCAAAGCGCGACCCTGGATCAGTGCATTCATTTACTCTTCTATTTATTTTGTGCTTTAATTTTGCTTTAGACCTGTAGTTCCATGAAGTAAAGGTTGCGCTTTAAATCTTTGAGTTTCTTTTAATATAATTTCATTGTAAGAGTTAAAAAAGCCTATGACTGATTCTTCCTTTCATGATTTCCAAAAATAGACCCAGATATGTAGCAGCATCACAATTATTTTTCGGTTCCTTCTCCTTTTTAACAGGAGGGCCTGGGTTTTGGGTGGGGACAGTGGTTTGTAGATGCTTCTTTCCTTGGTCCCTTGGGAAGGAGTTGAAAAGCCAAGCTTTCAGGAGAGGCTTGGGGCCAGTTCTATGAAACCAAACGGCTCATTGTTTTCTTCAGGAGCATGTTTCTAAGAAATTGCCTTACCGGAAACGAATTGTCATTGATTCCATTTCAGAACCATTTTTATTACCAGTGTTTATTTTCTCCTTTTGATTTTTCATATGAACTTGATGATTTTGAAGTTCGTGGGGGACCTTTCTGTAATGTTTTACACACACACACACACACACACACACACACACACACAAACACACACGTATGTATAAACACTGTTAGATGTTATAATCCAAGCGGTCAGTTGGAAGCTACTTTCCACTTGATTATTTGGTACCATTTCTGCTAGATTCTGAGTCAGGGACTTGATACTGTGGTCTGACATAGTGACGATGAGCCGTTATAGTGCCTCATTTATGATATAATGAGGTATGGGCAGCCTAGCAGTTGTAGGATGTCCAGATGTCCAGTAAATGTCTGCAGTGTTATGTAACCAGTGTGGAAGTGACTGAAGAATCATTTTCCTCTTTTAACCTCTATATGCTGTTTGGGGACACACGGGGCTTTGCTTTTTTCTCTCTCTTCTTTTGGCTTTCTTGTTAATTTTTCTTGTTTTTCTGCTGATCTGTTTCCCCTTTTTTTGTATGTGTTCTTACATATCCCTGAAGTTGGGTTAGAGCTTGAATTAATTAATCAGCTGATCTTTGTTTTACTCTGCTGGGCTGTCCAGATTGACTGAGACTCCTAGGCTCAAGTGACCCCTCTACCTCTGCCTCCTAGGTGCTAATACTGCAGGTGGACACCACCTGACCTAGCCTTTTTTTTTTTTTGTCTTTTTGAAGCAGGGTCTCCTTGTAGCCCCAGCTGTCCTGGAACTCACTATGTAGACCAGGCTGGCCTTGAATTCACAGAGATCCGCCTGCCTCTGCCTCCCGAGTGCTGGGATTAAAGGCTTGCGCCACTACGCCAGGCTAGAGTTTGAATTAATGAATTTAAAGTTCTAGGAACTAGTGACTAGAAATGAGAGCTACTATTAGTTTGCTTTCCCCTAGATGTTAGCATGTGACTCTGTGTGACTGAGAGTAGCCAATGTGAAGACAGATTCTGTCGGAATCACAGCCTGGTTTTAGTGACTCCTGCGATTCAATGACTCAAACAGGTAAAAAGAAAGTTTCTCCAGATAAAATGGTGGAAATGCAAGCCAAAATTGATGAGGAGAGAAAAGCGCTCGAAACAAAGCTGGACATGGAAGAAGAAGAGAGAAACAAGGCGAGAGCCGAGCTGGAGAGACGCGAGAAAGATCTCCTCAAGGCCCAGTGAGTGCTCCTGACTGGGGGTTCCCATACCTGACTGGGGGTTCCCATACCTGAAGTTTCTAGTGTTTTCCATAGGATTGTATAAGCCAGAAAATTGATTAATAATCAGAAGCCTCATTTTTGCCTCCAACATAGCCATTTTTGGGTAGAGGATCTAGTGTGTGTAGTATATTTCTAAAACTTAGATCTTTCTTGATTAATCTCAGCGTGGGAAAAGAAGATACTGGAAAATTTGAATTATACATTAAGTAATGAATTAATACTATACAGTGATGTGACTTGGTAAAGGTACTACTGACTTTATTTCTCTGAGCATGCACCTTGATCATATTGAAATTTGGGAGATGATATTAGAACAGTAGGTGATCAGGGAATTTAGAATGCTCTCATTTTAATTAATAGACAAGAGCATCAGTCTTTGCTGGAAAAATTATCTGCTTTGGAGAAGAAGGTAATTGTTGGTGGTGTTGATTTGCTGGCCAAAGCTGAGGAACAAGAGAAACTTCTTGAAGAATCCAACATGGAGCTGGAAGAGAGGAGGAAAAGAGCCGAGCAGCTTCGGAAAGAACTTGAGGAAAAAGAGGTGATACCACTTCCTGTTACGTTTAGTACTTTGCCTGGTACATTTAACTTTTCCAGTGCATAGCTAAATATTGATAATCCTAATGAAAATTGGATGTAGATTTACTTTGAGGACAGTCATTACTAAACATCTCTGTCATTTGTTATGATGAATTTATGACTTAAGTATTCTGGGGACTGGAGAGATGGCTCAGTAGTTAAGAGCTCTGGCTGCTCCTGCAGAAGACCCAGGTTTGAATCCCAGCACCCACATAGTGGCTGTGCTGGACAGCTTTAGTGTCAACTTGACACACCTGGGTCGAGGGAGCCTCAATTGGGGAATTGCTTCTATTGGACTGGCCTGTGGCCATGTCTGTGGGGCATCTTCTTGATGGGTGATGTGGGAGGGCCCAGCCCACTGTGGGTGGTGCCACCCCTGGGCAAATTTTTCTGTATTGTATAAGAAAGCAGACAGAGCAGGGGCCAGGGGAATAAGCCAGGAAGCAGTGTTCCTCCATGGCCTGTGCTCGTTCTTGCCTCCAAGTTCATGCCTTCAGCTCTTACTCTGGTTTCCCCTATGAAAGTCCGAAGCAGCATTCCTCCATGGCCTGTGCTCCAGCTTCTGCCTCCAGGTTCCTGCCCTGAGTTCCTACCTTGGGCTCCCAGATGAACTGTGATCCAGAATATGTAAGCTAAATAAACCCTTTCCTCACCAACTTGGTAGTGGTCAGAGTATTTTGTCACAGCAATGAAGAACAAATTAAGACAGTGGCTAACAGCCATCTGTAACTCCAGTTCCAGGGAATCCAGCACCCTCTTCTGTCCTCAGGCATTGCACTGCGAGGATGTGCTTACATACACACAGGCGATGCACTCATACACATAAAATAAAAATAAGTAAAAATTAAGAAAAGTATTCTTATGTTAACCCATTTTTGTTACAGCAAGAACGCTTGGATATCGAGGAAAAATATACAAGTTTGCAAGAGGAAGCACAGGGAAAGACCAAGAAATTAAAGAAAGTTTGGACCATGCTGATGGCTGCCAAGTCAGAGGTTGGTGTCTTAGAAATTACCCACAAAAGGAGTTTTGAGTTTTTTAAAAGGAGGTTGCTTTGGTTAAGAACTCGTAGTAATCTTCTTGTAAAATACTTAACTCTTTTCTGTGAAAGGTTTAATTTTTTTTTCACTATTTTTTTTTTTTTTTGTCTTTTTGAGACGGTCTCCCTGTAGCCCCAGCTATCCTGGAACTCACTATGTAGACCAGGCTGGCCTTACACCACAGAGATCTGCCTGCCTCTGCCTCCTGAGTGCTGGGATTAAAGGTGTACACCACCGTGCCCAGCGAAAGGTTTAATTTTAGTTATTGAGCTAAGTCTTCTTTCAGCCTGAACTACTAACCTGGACTAGACAGTGCTATTGTTGCTCTGCCTGCCCATCATTTCTATATCGCTGGGTAAGCTCCTACCAGGCGAATTGCCGTGTATTTAAAATCGGTTTGTGTGTAACTTCTGTGTAGATGGCTGATCTGCAGCAAGAACATCAGAGGGAGATAGAAGGCCTCCTGGAGAACATTCGGCAGCTCAGCCGGGAGCTTCGACTTCAGATGCTAATTATTGATAACTTCATACCTCAGGACTACCAGGTAGGAAAGGTCTGATTTAGATACTGAGTGCATGACTGGGGTTAAGACGTAAGGAACTGCAATTCTAATTTAGTTGATGATAAACATGTACACTCCAGTTATAGTTTTCTCAGACAGACGCCATCATGCTTCCCTTATTACTTTCCTGGGACTATAATTCTCTTTTTTGAGTATCTGAATGTCTAAAGAAGGTTGCAGGCTTTTGGAAGAACCCAGGTTCGCATAACTGCAGTGAGAGCCAGGCTGAGGTCCTGCTCGTTCATCCAGCATCCTTACTAGGAAGAAGAATACATAGAGTCCTCTGGAAAAACAGAGAGATAACATGAAATTTGCCCTTTTAATCATTTTTAGCTATGCAGTTCAGCAACAGTACGTATATTTGCTTTGTACAACCAGCCGTCACCACCTATCATTCCCAAACAAGTGGTAATTGTTGTTTTGTTTGGTTTTTTGAGATGGGGGTCTCCCTGTAACCCCAGCTGACCTAGCTTGACCAAGCTGGCCTCAGCCTCACAGAGATCTGCCTGCCTCTGCCTCCCAAGTGCTGGGATTAAAGAAGTGTGTCACCACACCCAGCTACAAGTGGTCATTGTTAATACTGAGTATAAATTTAAAATCTTCTTAGACAAAATTTCTGTCCTTCTATATTTTTAATAATCTTATGACTTAAAAAGGTTTTAAATACCAATCTAGCTTTAAGAAATTTGTCTGAAAAAATTTGCTTTGGACCTCAGATACACAGAATTAGCCCTGGGTTCCTAGTACACTCTGCTGATCCTTGGATGCCCTGCTTTTATGTCGTTATTTTGTACTGATCACTCAAAGTCAAAGCTGAGACCCGAGCAGTAAGCATTTCTAGCCAGATGGTTTCCCTCCCCTTCTATGTAGCCCTGTGCCTCTTCCAGCCCAGCTAGTCTGTCATCCTGATTCCTGGCTTCCAGCTCTTGGTTTTGATTTTATGTAGTTTAATGGTATCTGCATGTGTTCCTAAGGAATTAATTTTTTAAGTGTATGATGTTTAGAAACAAGTTTTTTCACTTAACATTAAGAATTTAGTTCTGGGGGGTTAGAGAGGTGGCTCAATGGTTCAGAACACTGGCTACTCTTGGAGAGGACCTGGGTTTGGTTCCTAGGACCCACATTGGGCAGCTCACAACCATCTGTAACTCCAGTTCCAAGGAATCTAGTACCCCCTTCTGGACTCTGTGGGCCAACCATATATATGGTGTGCATATAGGCTAGCAGGCACACACACACATACACATAAATAAAAATAAATTTTTTAAAAAGCGGTTAGTGGG